AGTTTTACAATTTATCTTTTCTGATTGCTGTGCACCATATGCTAGAAATTTGCAAAACTTTGAAAGTGTAACTTCCAAAAATTTTATTCAGTTCATATGCAATTACTCATAATGGTGATTCGTGTAAAAACATGAATTATGACGCAGCAAAAATAATTTTTCTTACTGGTTTTACACAGTCTTCCAGTCCATCCCAAGGCGCAACCCGATGGGCAGGTACCGTCATATTTCCTGCATTGTTCGTTGTTTCGGCAATTTCCACATTGCAATGTGCAATCCCGACCATAAAATCCGTGTCGACATTCATCTTCTAAATAACAAAGACATAAGAAAAATCATCAAAATTTTTCAAATATGTAATATAAAATTTTATATATACCATGAGTAACCAATATAAATATGCACATAAATGTATACAACATTGAAACGTATAAAAAAAAGTATTTGATAAATCAAAAGAATCATTTTTTTTCTTACTGGTTTTACAGAGTCTCCCTGTCCATCCCAAAGCACAACCCGATGGGCAGGTACCGTCATATTTCCTGCATTGTTCATTGTTTAGGCAATGTCCACATTCCAATGTGCAGTCACGGCCATAAAATCCGTGTCGACATTCATCTTCTAAATAACAAAGAAATAAGAAAAAATTTCAAAATGTTTCAAATATGTGATATTAAACAATATATAGTATATGATTTAACATATCCAAAGCATGAAAATACATTCTCACTCTCTCTCTCTCTCTCTCCCCCCTCTCACTCTCTCTCTCGCTCTCCCCCCTCTCACTCTCTCTCTCGCTCCCCCCCTCCTCTCTCTTTACTTTATATATATATATATATATATATATATATAGAGAGAGAGAGAGAGAGACAGAGAGAGAGAGACAGAGAGAGAGCACGGCAAATGTAAAGCTTTTAAGAATACGAGGGACATAACACTTTTCTTATGTGTACGCCAGATGTAATGTCGTTTTTTAATTTGTTTTTGATAGTTTACAACTGGGTGAAATCAGATTTTATTAGTTTTATATTACATAATTTTGTATATATTTTATTATGTATTAATGAGGAATTTCTAATAAAATAACAATTGATAACATATTTTGGTGTGACAATACTTTAAAATTTTCTTAAGATGTAATTTACTTTGGTTCAATAAACGTAAATAAATAAGTAATAAAAGAGCCTTTCATTTGTCGCACTCTGTATATATATATATATATATATATATATATATATATATAGTGAAGGAGAGTGGGGGAAGGAGAGAATCTTTAAGTAACAATATCTCTTACTGGTTTTACAGAGTTTTCCAGTCCATCCTAAGGCGCAACCCGATGGACAGGTACCGTCATATTTCCTGCATTGTTCGTTGTTTCGGCAATTTCCACATTCTAATGTGCAGTCCCGGCCATAAAATCCATGTTGACATTCATCCTCTAAATAACGAAGAAATAAAAAAATCATCAGAATGTTTCAATTATGCAATATAAAACATTATCTAGATAGTATATGATTTAACATAAGCAAAGCATAAAAATAAATATCTCACTTCTTACCTCTCTCTATCCCTATATATGTATATGTGTGTATGTCTCTGTGTGTGTGTGTACAAGGTAGCGATGAATAAATTGTCGTCTAAATTATGCAAAAATAAATTCATTTTAACAGATACATTTAACAAAATTCCACACAAATATCTTGAAGAGTGAATTTATAATATATTCAATAAAATCGCCATTGATTTCAACCACGGCCTCCAGACACCTGAAACTCTTCTGGATAGTCTCCTTGTTTAAGTTGGTGAATCCAACCATAATCCTTGCCTTCAGTTCATCTTTGTTGTTACAATGAGTTTTGTTTGTCTCTCGATCAACTGCACTTCTACATAATAATCAAGGGGGTTGCAGTCTGAAGAGTTAGGGGTTCAGATGTAAGTGGTGATGTGGTCGCAGAAATTATCTGACAGTCATAATTGGGTTCTCCTGCTTGTGTAGTATGATGCAGAGTCCTGTTACCAAAACATAGGGTCTTCTAGCAGTTACCCTCTTGACCTAAGACAGCACTGCCACCTCAAGGCATTTCATGTAGGCCTCTGTGTTAAGTCCCGGTGGGAAGATGAATGAAAGTATAGCGTCGAGAGCACTCCAAAGATTATGATGTTGACTGGATATATCATCCAACTCTTTCCGAATCATCAGATTGACACTCAAATACTCTGAAATGTTCGTATTGGAGCTTCAGACGCGAATACCAAGCAGTAAAGCATCGTTTCCAAATTGCAGGCGAAGTGAGTTGTGTCATGTTGCCCTATTTCTCACAGACAGTTCCCAGCTGACCCTGCTATACTGTCCCGTCGATAAAATCAAAAACTAAGCGAATACGCGAAATTAAAATTATTTAAAAGCGACAATTTACCGATCGCACCCTGTACATATATATACATATAATGAATAAGCAATCAAGTATATAAATAAAAAGTATATAATTTTGAAACACGTCAAATTTGGATTCATAAAGTAAAAGAAACAATATCTCTTACTGGTTTTACAGAGTTTTCCAGTCCATCCTAAGGCGCAACCCGATGGGCAGGTACCGTCATGTTTTCTGCATTGTTCGTTGTTTAAGCAATTTCCACATTCTAATGTGCAGTCCCGGCCATAAAATCCGTGTCGACATTCATCTTCTAAATAATAAAGAAATAAGAAAAATTATCAAAATGTTTCAATTATGTGATATAAATTTATATCTACATATGATATAACATGTCCAAAGAATAAAAATACATATCTAACACTTTCCTTCTCTCCATCTATCTCTCTCATTTTCACTCTCCCTCCCTCTTGATATATATATATATATATATATATAATTATTTATTATAAATAATTATATTTGCTCTACTCTGTATTGAGCACTCTTTTAAGAATAGTACTTGTTGGTTATTGGAATTTATTCCGTATACACCAATCCTATACTTATATATATATATATATATATATATATATATATATATATATACAGAGTTGGTATAGATGAAATGAAATTCCGATATCCCAAAACACTATTCTTAGAAGAGTGCTCAAATACTTCTTACATCAACATCGAACTTAACTGATAAATTGGCACTTCGCTAAGAACAACAAAAATTAATATATATATATATATATATATATATATATATATATATATATATATATATATATATATATATATATATATATATATCCTCCGTTTCATTTATGAATAATTTTGTAATATTTTAAACTTGATGGTCGGTTAAATTTAAAATCCGGCATTTGTAATTTTTTAATTCTTAGTATTAATATGAAATGATAAATAGTTATATTAATTTCTAATTTAAACTAATCTTAATCTAAATGCACTCATAGATTGTATTTAGAGTCTGTTGTCATGATTTTTTTTTTTTTTTTTACCATATGCTTGTATTTTGATTGGTCATCATGGGTTAGGTCACAATATTTGCCCTATTGAGGAGGTTTGGTTGGTTTTCAACTTGCAAATCTCTTTATTTTGCAATCAACACTATCATTTGACAAGACACCAGAAGTGTTGAAACAATATGTCTACTTCCGTAGTGATGTTATAACATGCATATGTTATCATTTTGAATAATTATATACATATATATATGTGTGTGTGTGTGTGTGTGTGTGTGTGTGTGTGTGTGTGCGTGTGTGTGTGTGTGTGTGTGATGAGTAAGGAATATAAACATATAAATAAAAAGTATATAATTTTGAAACACGTCAAATTTGGATTCATAAACTAAAAGAAACAATTTTCCTTACTGGTTTTACACAGTTTTCCAGTCCATCCCAAGGCGCAACCCGACGGGCAGGTACCGTCAATTTTCCTGCATTGGTCGTTGTTTAGGCAATGTCCACATTCCAACCTGCATTCAGGGCCATAAAAGCCGTGTTGACATTCATCTTCTAAATAACAAAAATAAGACAAATTATTAAAACTATAAAACAGTATCTATATAACAGGGATGGGTTAACGTTTTTCATAGTGGACCATAACATTGTTTGCACCTTGCATAATGTTAATATAGTGACTTTCCAAGCGTAGGTTAGATATGGCACATGGCCGAAAGTACGGGACATCCAGCGAGGATCGAACTCATTACGCAGTCGTAAGCGTTCTAGCAAGACAAGCTTGCATGATATTAATATAAATAGCACTTATATATCCGCGTGATATTTGTGCATTTATTTGCATGACTGGATAAGAAATCTGATTCATTTTTAAATTCAATTCACTTAATATTGATATTATTAATTAATTATGTAATTAATATTCATATTATTAATGAAATTTGTGAAACTGAGAAAGTTTTACCTAATATTGTTTCTGCTTATTTGTTAATGTACGCAAAACAGATTACGTATGCAAACACGTTAGCTGAAACCTTGTAATAAATATTAAATGTAGCAATTTTCATATTCGTTCTTTTTATTCCTGTATGGAAATGATTACTATGCGACGTTTTTGTAAAACTTTCTATATAGTTTATAATATAACACATTCAAACTATAAAAATGTATATATCTTTCTCACATTCTCTTTCTTTCACAATATGCGGTCGATGGTAAACTACTGGACCGTTCATTCGCCAGCAGTTTACCATCACTGAAGGAGACACATTTCGTGCGTCGAAACATAGTTGCCACTATGCAGCGTCTTTTTAACATGTTTTTATTTTAATATCCTAAAATAAATTATAAAATTACATAAATTATATATATATATATATATATATATATATATATATATATATAAAATTTTTAAGCGATACAAATATATAAAGAAAAATGGTATATAATATTGTAACGTGTAAAAAGGGGATTGCTAATTAAAAAGAAAGTTTTTCTTACTGGTTTTGCAGAGAATTCCAGTCCATCCCAACGCACAACCCGATGGGCAGGTACCGTCATGCTTCTTACATTGTTCGTTGTTTAGGCAATGTCCGCATTCAAATCTGCAGTGAGGGCCATAAAATCCGTGTCTACATTCATCTTCTAAAGAAAGATTAACGTAATAAAAATATCTATATAGTATGAGAAATAGCAGAAGAATATAAATACATACTCACACACATGTATAATAATATATATATAAGAAATTATATATATATATATACATTTTTATGTTTATACAGGTAAAATGATAACAAATCGAGTATAATTGCAATGTCCGTAACATTTAATTTGAAAGAGGGCTCAATCCAGAGTAGAAGTAAATATTATTTATTTTCGGATATTATAACAAAAACTTGTTACGAAATTTGATTGATCAGGAATACAATTATTAGATCACATGAGATATTGCACAAAAAACCAAATCAAAGCACCTTGTCTGCCGTATTTAATGAAACATGCATGAAAGAAACATTGCTGCCTAAATACACAAATTTTAAATTGCCTGACATGGCAACCAACAAGAAAAGCAACACTATAACTTTCAGGGAAAATCTTATTTTGCGACAAATAACGAAAGCTAAGAACGAAATTCAACATATAAATAATGTAATCCAAAACCATAATGCTGTACTAAAAAACTCTTTAACTGAATATAAAGAAACACATTATCATATCAACATAAATATTAATAATGATGAACTTAAACATAGACAAATAATTACAAAAAAGTTGTGCAATTTATACCAAGGAAATATTCTACTTCCCAACAATCATGATAAATACATAAATCTATCTAGTTACATATCAGCGGATGATCAGAAGGAATTTCTATATCTAGGACCAAACTGCCATCGCCAACCTAAATTCGACCTTCTCACAAAGAAGACTGAAATTGAAATCTTACATCAATCATTATGTCAAACTGGAAAAGGACAAATTAATAATTCTCCATCCAAACCTGAAAGATCTTCTCAAGGTAGAAGCTGTAAAAGATTATATTTCACGTAATAGAAATAAGAACATTTCCAGCAAAACTCAAAATTGCTGCTAAAAATTAAAAAACAACCCGAATATAGTCATCAGAAAAGCTGATAAATCCAATATTTACGTAATTTTAGATAAATTGGATTATCACAAAAATACTTCAGCACCTCATTGATGATCATTCTAAATTTACTAAATTAAATAAGAACACCACTGAAACTGTAAAGAAATATGTTAATAAACTCATAACATCCAACAATGCTGGTGCAGGATCCATAAAAATAAACAAAATTATTGGAGATTACCAACCTGGTTACTTATACGGTAAAATTAAAATACACAAACCGGGATACCCATTACGACCTATCATTTTTCAGATTCCAACATGTATATACCAAATATCAAAATTTGTGAAAGATATTATTACCCCATATCTCCCTACTAACTATAGCATTAAATCTACCCATGAATTCCTCCAAATACTTAAAAGCACAAAATTAAAAACAAACCAAGACATTATTGCGTCACTTGACGTAGAGAATTTATTTACTAATGTTCCCTTTCTCCGAAACTATTGATATTATCATTAATTCGATATATAAAAATGATTTGATTCCACCTCCATCAATCCAACTCAATATTTTAAGAAAGTTATTGCTCGCTTGCACCACTAGAGTTCCTTTTTATAGCCAGAATGGTACTATCTGCACACAAAGTGGTGGAGTAGTATGGGAAACCCTCTCGGACCGTACTTTTCCAATTATTATATATCATGTGTTGAAAACAAGGTTTTTACTAAATTTATTAAACCTAGAATATATGTTCGTTATGTAGACGATATATTTATATTACCTGATAACAAAAAGGAAATTGAAAATCTGAAAACTACATTTCAACAAAATTCCGTCCTAAATTTTACTTATGACTTAGTGAAAAAAACTCTCTTTCTTAGATGTCCTCGTCGATTTTAGTAATAATACTTTTACAACTTCTGTTTATAAAAAAAAAACAACTATTAAAGACTGTTGCCATCTTAATTTCTCAAGTGAATGCCCTCTTAGATATAAAATAGGTGTTATTACAAATTTCCTCAAGAGAACGCACGAGAATTCATCCACTCGCACGCTTTTCTTTAAAGAATTAAATAACGTAAAACAAACGGTTATTAATAACGGATTTCCTAATCAGTTGTTGGGTTTCTATATTAGGCTTTTTCTGTCTAAGGTAGCTAATAGCAACGACAAGAATAGAAACATAATAAATAACATTAATAGTTTTTATAAAAATCAGATGAACGAAAATTACAAACAAGACGAAAGTAGAATTAAGAACATTATAAAAAAATGCACAACACTATTTGACAATAGCAAAAAAATTAGATTAATTATTTATTACAAAAGATTTAAAACCGCTAACCTTATAGTTAAAAATAATAATTCACCTCCTAGAACAAAATTAAATAGGACAAATATTATTTATGAATGTAAATGTTCATTAAGTAATTGTATTCCTGATCAATCAAAATTCGTAAATAATTATATAGGTCACACTACATGTTTGACACGCTGACTCAATCTACACTTTTCTGACCATAGCTTTACTAGGTCTCATTTAGATATTCATGAAGACATACTGCAGCTATTCGTAACATACTTGTTAACAACACAAATATAATAGAAACATCTACATGAAAAAAGGATAAAAATAATGGAATCCTCATTAATAAAAACAAAAAAACAACACTCAATAATATCAACTATGAACATAAACACTATATCTTGACCGTGTTTTGAAAACTGAAAACATCATATATATATACATACATACAACAATTTATTTCTTAATAACAGTTAATATACTTCAACCTTGAAATAGGTAAATGTATAGCCGAAATCGCTCGGATAAAAAGAAAAATTAGACAGTATATATATTGAATAACGATAATTTTTTAAAAATCAAGAACATATTTTGAAAGAAAAGATGTATAACAAATTAGGAAAAAGTTTTTTAACACATTTCATCCGACTGAGTTTGTTGACATCAACAAACCCAGTCTGATGAAGTCCTAACTGATGAAAGGAACGCATCAAAAATAAATTTTACAATTTGTGATACATCTTTCATATCTTTCACACACACACACACATATATATATATATATATGTATGTATATATATATATATATATATATATATATAGGTGTGTGTGTGTGTGTGTGTGTGTGTGTGCGTGTGTGGACGACATTGACGTCAGCCCCTGGAATCGTCTGTCTGTTTCATGCTTAAACGCAATCATCAGTTACTTATATTTCAGGACATATGTATATGGCATGCTGATTGTGATTGAGCAGGAATCAGACTGTCACCTCTGGATGTTGACTTCAATTTCCAATTTTATATATGAATACGCTCTATCCATGACATTACGCACTTTATCCCATAAATATAGCATACATTAAAACTATATTTTATCATATATCATATATAATAAAAGAAAAAATATACAAAAGAAAAAAGGACAGGAAGATGTGGAGGACCTTGATCGCCAACGCCCTGAAGGGATGGCACATAAAAAAAGAAGGTAGTAGTAACATTTTTTCTTACTGGTTTTACAGAGAGTTCCAGTCCAACCCAAAGCGCAACCCGATGGGCAGATACCGTCTATTTTATTGCACTGTTCGTTGTTTCGGCAATGTCCACATTTCCATTGGCAGTCATGACCATAATATCCCAGTCTACATTCATTGGCTAAAATAACCAAAAATTTAAGAATAATTATCAAAATGTTTCAATTATATGATATAAAATGATATTTATATGGTATACGATATTATATAGCCAAAGTATAAAAATTAGATATGAGATCATTTATGATGGCTATAAATACGTCACCATTTCCTGTGTTTTAACATTATGTTTGTCTAGCGTCAGTTTTTATGATCCACTCTTAAAATTGAGATCTTTCTGCTAATTCACCCTAAAATATTAACTCAACCCCACCCCCCAAAAAAAGAATTTATATTTACTAAAATTCACAATAAATTCCCCCAGAGCGAGGCCCTACCGTTGCACACCGGTTTAGTTGATCTTTGCAATGACCCCAAATCTAGGTGACTTGTATGCGTTATTCCTAAATTTGGGATCTACATTCTACAAACCAGTAACAGATTTTTTTTTCTAAATTGGAAGAAATTCCTTGTAAGTACCTCGAATGTCATCCGCTTCTTATGAAATGTCAATAATTTCCTGATTTTTACTAATTTTGAGGGTTGCAGTTGTTGGGAGGTAAGCTAAACAAATTTTGATCTGAAAGTTATAATTTCAAGTGTGCCAAACATTTAATAAAAAAGAACAAACAAACTTTGATTTAAAATTTATAATTTCTTGGATTAAATTAATATTTGCGATAAGTAACTTAACATTATTTGGGATGAATTAACAAAAAAGATCCTAAAATTGAACATAAAAGTCGAAGAAATGTAATTTCTGTCACATTTCTCGCTTTAAACTACTTTCCGATTGGCGGCCATTACGGCCATTGTTAATTGTATTTTGATAATCTTAATTCTAATAATGAAATCATTATGTCTTCGGTGTTTTTATGTATTTGATAAGTTTATATGTCAACTGATTATATCTCTGAACGGTTGTTATGTCATGTTATCATATCATGCGATGTTTTTATAACCCTTTCCTTAGATTCAAATTTATATTCTTTTTAGGCTCTGTATATTTTGGTTCTGGGTGTTTATTTAGTCCAGATTAGAGCAGAGACTATCAAACCGGGCATCTTAACTATTCGTTAACTGTTAGAATTTGGAGCGTGAGTTGTTATTTAACTAAGAAGCCACTGACAATAAATTCGGATTTGCTCATAAACTTAGTTGCAATTAAATCTACTTTATTTATACAAGTACAACTCCATTTTTCTATTCTTTCTGACATTTAAAATATACAGAAAAACATTATTTTCTGACAAGAGATCATTTACCCATTTCACATCGATATCCAGTTTTTTCAGGCGGGCACGGAAGATCACAGTATCCCATGATATTGTTACATTTCAGTTCTGGACAAAATTCGCATCTCCACTTACAGTCCACTCCATAATAACCGCGACTGCATTCTGGAAAAAAAAATCAGCCATTTTTTTTTATAAATCATATTTATAAGTGATAAATATATATATATATAACATATTTTGTTTGTCTTTAAGACATTATTAGAAAACCATTTTAAAAATATACTTGTCTTATTAATCTAAACATATTGTGAAAAAGCCATAACGGTTTATATATCCGTATATTATTTCAATGTTTATTCACATCATCTTCAGAAAAGATTACAAAAAATAATGATTCTCTATTCGGTTTTGGACATCATACAGATGATGTAAGTAAATAAGTAACTTCCCCTTTTATATGATTCATTTGCGTATTGTGAATTTTAAATGCGTTTTGCGTTAAAAGTGAATACATAAAAAAATAAGATTTATTTTCGTCATTTGATCCTCTTTCTCTCCATGAGACGAAAAACGTTGTACAAACAGCAAAGAGATAGGTACCGTTTATGGGGATGGTGCCATAGCTGAGAGTGCTGTATGTAAGTGGTTCGCCAGGATCAAAAGTGGAAATTTACATCTGGAAGATCTGGAATACTCCAGCAGGCCCACAGTCATTGTTAATGATGAAATCGAAAAATAATTCAGAACACATCAGACAACGTAAGGATACTCCATTTATCTCATATGTGTATTGTAAGGTATTTGAAAACATGTGGATACGTGAATCCCTAAGGTTTTAGTGCCACATGATTTAACAGAAAAAATTGAATCGACCTCATTTCCATCTGTGATTCTTTGCCAAAACACAAAAAGAAATATTCATATTTTTAATTTAATGATTACTGGCAATGATAAATCTATTATGTGTGGAGCGGAAAAGGTTCTGGGGAAAACGAACTGAACTGCCGTTGACCAAAAAGCTGATCTTCTTCTGAAGAAAGTGATGTTGTATATCTGGTGTGATTGGAAGGGCATTGTGTATTGCGAGCACCTTCCGCAAAATAAGATATTGAATTCAGAAAAGTGCTGTCCCCCACCCAAACTGCAACCGATTTTTTAAAAATCGCTGGCGATGAATAATGGATCGTTTACAACAATATGGAGCGAAAAGGGTCCTCTGGAAACGAAATGAGCCATAGTTAAACACTACAAAAGCTGCTATTCATCCGAAGAAGGTGAGGTTGTGTATCTGGTGGATTTGGAAAGGTATTTTGTATCATGGGCTCCTTGCGCAAAATCGGATATTAAATTCAGACAAGTATATTTCTAGGTCTAATATAACTGAATTCAGATAATTAGTGTTCCGCATCTGGGCCAATTAAAGGCAACAATCGATTAAAAGCTTCCGTAGTTGGACAACGGGAAAAGTTTCGTCTGTTCATCAGGACAATAACAAAGCCCACGTTCCTTCGGGGACCAACAGAAATTGGTTAGGGTTGCCTTCCATGTAAAAAAATTCAGTAGGCTCTTATTTTTTGACATTGAATGACATAGTGTAAATCTTTATAGAATTATTGGTTTAGCTTTCCTTTCTCTTTAATTAGTATGCACCGTGCTTGGGTAGGTCATGTGACATTTGACAGCTGCTTGGTGTGAAATTTAATCTTTGGGGCCGACGCCATGAAAAGAAGACACTTCTCTGGCGCGCGAAAAAATAACAATATCATGCAAAATGATGTGTTAGATCTGTGAGAAAGAACAAACTTTTGTAATATTCACTACCTTTTCCTTTTCAGGGTCTGGGAGAAGGCACGTAACCCATTTATACATTTTAATTTTATGTTTCATCTGTATAAAATAAAACTTTCTATCTGGCCGTTCTTCAGTTTTTGTTATTCATTTTTGCATAAATATCCATACCTACGACAGCTACTAGTAAGGTTACCAACATGTATTTGGTATCCACAACAGAATCATTATTCGGGGACTTAAGTAAGGGATTTTCAGGAAAGTCTATACATTTCAGATATTTCTATCAAGCATTTTTTTTTTAAGCATTACGCCCCGAGCAAGGCGGGAAGCCACTAGGATGCAGGGGGTTGCAGAAGATTTGGAGCAAGATCAGATAGGAGTGATAGAGGAAAAGATGAGGAGAAGGGTAGTGGATAGATCAAGGCAACTGGAGATGTCGATTGACATTACTTTTGAATAGTTGGAGATTATAGCTCTCAGGGAAAATGGAATATGGAAGGGCGTTCCACAGGCGAGAGGTGCGAGACATGAAGCTATTGGAGTAGAAGAGACGGATACATTTAGAAGTTTTGACAGTGAAGGGGTGAGAGCGGGATACCAGCCTCGTAGGGCGCTTGAATTCATGAAGTCTGGGAACCAGAGAATGCAGCTCCTCGGAGCAATTGCCTTGAAAGTATTTGTAAAAAAAAGACAGAGAGAGGCGACGGCGCGTCTGTGAGAGAGCAACTGTAGACGAGATGCCAGATTAGGGCCAATTATATTACATACCCTCAGAATTTTTCGTACACGTGATCCATTAATGCTTTACTAGTTTTAACCCTTGAAAATATCACGGTTTTGTTATTTGAATTTTCTTATTGAATATGTTCAAGGCGAGTACTGCGACAATAAAATATCCGATTGCATTGTTGAATATTTGAACTTAACTTTAATAAAATATTGTAATAGCAATCAAATAGGAATACTGGTCATTATTTTAAGAAATAAAAAGATCTGAAATTGAAAAAATTTCCTATTTCACTGAAACAGCCGTTAAACACTTCTATGTTATCTTCATTCTTTCTTTAAATTTTTATTTTTATTTATTTATTTCATTTTCTCACTGAAACCAAGTAGTGTCTTTTCCCATCTTTCCAGGCGATCAAAACGGAATAATCCATTATTTATTAGGTATTGGCAGGGCGTACTCTTAGTTCTAAGTAAAGAATGAAGGGTGGGTAATAAGGTTACTTGTTTTAGTGTAGTTAGGCTCATTTGAAAAAAATAGCAATTGATACTCATACTGTAAATGGGTTAATATGTACCAATTTATGATAGGAATTAGAATATTTAGGATTACTTATTGACTTACTTTCACAATTTATGCCGCTGTACTGGGATTCACAGCCAAGCTTACAGGATCCATCTTCGTTACAGCGTTGACCTTTGCATCTAGGCGAACATTTCTTCTCGCATGCTTTCCCATAGTAACCATGATGGCATGCTGTAAATTACATATGTTGATATTTTAATATCTTTTCTCAATACTGGCTTTAGATGAACTTTATACACACAAATATGTATGGATTTTATTTAATAATCCGACATATGTTTATTGCTTTAAACGTTATTTTTAGTAGATACCCATATCAATTAGTAGACGCTCTGTTTATTTTAAACAGTATTTTATTTCGTCTACCGGCCTAAACATTCAACAAATCTCATTAAAGTACATGCATACTCCGGCAGGATTCGAACCTGCGTCTCTCTTTGCAGGAGAAACCGGTGTTAGATTCAACGTGCTTTGACAACTGGGCCACGAAGAGCTTCATAATCAAGCAATAAGCCAACTCTGGTGTTTGAATCAAAGGAAGTCACTTGTTAACTTTATATACATGTCTAATTTAGCCCGACAGAAACGGACGACATAAATTACGAACCAGAAAAAAAACACACGTTACATTATTATATAGGGTGTCCCTAAATTCTGGACATATAGGAAATCTCATCAACTCTATTTTTTTACCTCCACAATTTAAACATGATCTCGTCGAAAGAAGAAAGAACTGACTTCTTTTTTCTGGGATATGCAAAAGAAGAAGGTGTACTCAATGAAAATCACAGATGCTACACACTTGATTGAACACATAAAGAGTGAATGTGCTAAACTTGACAGCAAAATATTGCATCAAGCTCACGTGAATCTTGCAAACATTTGTATCGCAAATGATGAAAATCATATTGAAGATTTTATTTGTTAATATTCCAATAAAATTTCGTTGAAAATTGAATTTCTTGAACATTGCATTTTAGCCTAGGGTGTCCAGACTTTAGGCCCACTCAGTATATTATGATAATCTATACAGTGTATTTACGTATGGATGTGTATGTGTGTATATTTGCGTGTATACGTAATTATTTCTGCGTGAGATCGAGCGTAATTTACAGAAATTGAAAACTGACTAAAATGCGAAAAATAGATACAGTGAGTCCAACATTCAATTTTTCAATGAATTTCATATATAAATCATACCTTTGCAATATTCTCCGCTGTAATTTTCTTTACAGCCTTCTCGACATTTTCCATCAACGGGGTCACAATTTTCTTTTCGGCAGCTATAACAATATTTCTCACATTTTCTTCCAAAGTAGCCGACTCGACAATCTGAAATTTAATAATAAATTACATCAAACATTCGTCTCCTGAACTAGATACAATAAATTCCTCAAAGTGAATTTTTCCAGCTATATCAAGGAAACACTTCAAACAGTCAGATCATAAGATGTGACTTCAGTCTTAAGTTCCAAATGCATGAAGATTCACTCTAATATCAATGCAAAATGTTTTTTGCGTAATGATTGAAGATTTTGACAACTATTTTCTCCTCTCTTGATAGTAAGTCTTATCGCTTTGGTAATGTCAAATTAGCAACTGATCTAAAAAAAAAAAAATGATTTCCAATCTGTTCTTAAATGGGAGCAAGGAATGTATTGTTAATTTTAACACCTCAAAAACGAAACTGGTTTCTTTTAATCGTCTCAGAGAATTCTCTTTACCTTCTATAAGCATGGCTGATGCTAACCTCCAGAAGAGTGACTCATTGTAGCTTCTCGGACTAACTTTCGAATCAATTGCTAAGTGTGCAATTAGGAAAGTTGCTTCATTATGTCGTCATAGACAATTTTTCTCGCCTTGTATATTTATAAAACTACCATTCGTCTTTGCTTTGAATATTTCTGCCACATCTGCTTTGGCGCTCCTGCTATATATTTAATGATTCTTGATAAAATCTAAAGAAGAATCTGCGATGTTATTGGTTCTAATCTGGCATCTCGGTCTCAGTTCCTTCCCCACCTCCGCAACGTAGTTTCCCTGTGTATTTTCCATAAATAGTTTCATAGTAATTGTTCTGAACTTTTTTATGATAACTAGACTTTATGAATTTAACGCAGTACGGCAAAGTTATATTCATATTTTAGTTGAATTGGCTAAATGTAGCCGTAAGTTCTATGCTAATAGTTTCTTCTCTCGCACTTCTCATTTGTGGAACTCTCTTTCGGTTTCTTGCTTCCCAGTCAAGTTTGATCTTCAAAAAATTTAAATGAAATGCCAATTGTTATCTTTTACTTGAAAAAGCACCAGAAAAACGGTTCCAGGAGAGGAAAAAAAACATGTTCTCCCAAAAGAGTTTTGTTTATCAATTTTATTCGTTTTTAATTTGACAAATTTAACTGGTTTTCTTAACTTTGATTAAAGATGATTTTCTATTTTAATCGTGCGCCAGTTTTTTGTTGTTTTTTTTATCCCATTTATTCTCTTAAATTTTATATTGTTGTTCCTGTTAATGAATAATAATTGTTTCGCCATAGATGTTTCTTCTGACGAAGGGTTAGCAGAAAAGTTCTTACGATATAAATTCAGCATTTTTTTGTATAGATGTTTAAAAAAGTTCGACTTAAGGCGATAATTAAATATTGTCTTATCAAGACATTGTTCATATATATATATATATATATGTGTGTGCGTGTGCGTGTGTAGGGTCAGTTTTTGAGTGACAGGCTTTTCTTAAATATGTCATTCACGTTCCAAAAAGGCATAAACAACTCTGCAATCTACCGTTTCAGCTTTACTGTCACTCAGTATAGTTGAAGCAAAAAAGACACAATATCCCTTGAAATCTTTCAATCCCATTTAGAATACAATTTGATGTTTGTAGTGTAAAATTATACAAAATTATAAGTTAGAGAACATAGATATCTTTTATACGAATAGAAACCATTTTAAATCGTTTAAAAACAACCGTAAGCAAAATAAATCGATTCCAATTGAATAACTAACTAAAGTGAAAATTATGCTAGACTGCATTAATCATTTTCAATGCTATGAAATAAATTTCTGTTTTTATTTGTGTTATAAGTTATAATTAAATAAGTACATTCTTTAGAATCAGCCATGTCGAGGGAAGATAAAAATAATTCTGTGTCTAAAAGATTTGCAGTTTCGTTTTAGAGACGTTATAGAATTAACAAGTCATTTCATCACCGAGTTAAATTGATCAGAGGTCATTTTCGAGAGCAGCTGTCAGTTTTGTCTATGATGTTTCTGGATATGTTGAGTATTTATGAAAAGCAGGTCTACCTTGAAAATACGTCGTTTCATCAAAATATTGAAGCACTTAATGCACAGATGTGTTGAGCAACTTATAAAAGTATATTCAAAATTCAAGCATCCACTTTGACGAATAGAAAGGATGTTATTTTGCGAAAAGGATATTACTAAAGTTGAAGTAATTGGAGATGAAAGCTTTATTGCGGTCTATCTATGAAAGCAAATTTCTCCTAAAGATTGGAGGGAGATATTTAAATCCAAAATATTTATTGTTTTTATTTTGCCCGAATAGACATTTCTGACGATGATTGATCTGCTAAGAAAAATATTTTCTGATTTCGTCATAGGAATTAAAATGAAGAATAAATACCTTGGCATCGACTTCCACTGAATTTATAAATGCAACCAAAATGACATTTGCCGCTTAACCTTTCACAGAGTCCATATTTACAATTTGGGCAACTTTCGGTACACTTCAGTCCATAAAAACCTTTGATGCAATCTGCAAGGTAACAATTCATTTGTTTTTTTAATCCCAATTTTCATTAAAACCTATAATAAAATAATCCAATAATGGATACGTTGTTATAGAGCTCGGTTCAATGAGGGATTTTAGCAGATAAAAGTAAATCTATCAATAAATAATAATAATAATAATAATAATAATAATAATCTAGCAACATTTAAAATTCACAATCAGTAATATTTCTCGCAAAGAACAAAACAATCAAAGTATTGTTAATTAAAACATTGTCATAAATATTTTAAAATCATGCATTATATGCATTGAATTCTTAATCCTTTCCAGATTTAAATAATTTCTAAATTTTAACTTTTAAGGTGTCTTAAATTAAAGTTCAGTTTGTAAGCTATCGAGACAAGTTAACCGTATTATATATTCAGGTAGGATTATGCTGAAGTCTTATGATGAAGTTATTTTTATTGAGGAATGTTTTTGATCCTATGTTGCTTATAAACAAAGGCACACAAATTTATATAAGATTAACTGTAATTCCGCCAATGTCTAGGTGCCAACAAAATATTGAACAAGGCAGTAGGTTGTAGGAACTGGCAGAAAGGAGAATAGAGTTTACTGTATATTTGCTTTAGGGGCTCCATTGCTGATTTTGGTTCAGGATTTTCCGTATTCTAGACTTGTTGCCAACCAAGAATAGGCAGATCAAGCTGCTCGGTAATTTGTGATGAGAGTAGATTAATGCTTTTCCTAGGATTAGTACAGTGAAGTGACCACAAGCAACCACGATCGAAACTCAAGCTCTGTTCGCCGATTCATTTTTATGCGCTGATAACCGTTACGCCACTCTGCAACAGACTTGGATAGATAGATAGATAGATAGATAGATAGATAGATAGATAGATAGATAGATAGATAGATAGATAGATATGAACAGGCTTGGATAGATAGATAGATAGATAGATAGATAGATAGATAGATAGATAGATAGATAGATAGATATGAACAGGCTTGGATAGATAGATAGATAGATAGATAGATAGATAGATAGATAGATAGATAGATAGATAGATAGATGGTGCTTTGAAAGTGATCCTTACTAGATTATTATGTTGGTATACGACTTCATGCTGTCGTTATGAAACCAATATGATAGCAGCTGAGACTTAATCTGGAAAAATGATGAATGTTCGAACGAAGCAGAAGTGTGCCATTGAATTCGTTCATTAAAATCTTTGTCATTCATCGACGCTTGCTAAGAAATCAGAAAAGGGATTTTAACCACACCCCGGTTGTGGTTAATGCCTTTCAAAATGGCCATTGTGAAAAAGCAGTTTTTTTTGTTTTTTTTAAGCATTTCACCCCAAGCAAGGCGGGGAGCCACTAGGACGCAAGGGGTTACAGAAAATAGGAAGATCAGATAGGAGTGATAGAAGAAAGGATGAGGGTAGTAGATAGATTAAGGCAACTGGAGATGTCGATTGACATTACACTTGAATAGCTGGAGATTATAACTCTCAGGGAAACAGGAGAAGGGAAGAGAGTTCCACAGGCGAGAGGTGCGAGACATGAAGCTATTAGAGTAGAAGAGACGGCTACATTTATGAGTTTCGACAGTGAAGGGGTGAAAGCGGGATGCCAGCCTCGTAGGGCGCTTGATGAAGCTTGGGAACCAGCGAATGCAGTTCCTCGGAGCAATTTCCATGAAAGTATTTGTAGAACAGACAGAGGGAGGCGACGATGCGTCTGTGAGAAAGTGACTGTAGACGAGACGCCAGGGCAGGGCCAACCATATTGCATATCCGCTTCTGGAGCCTATCAAGAACCCCGAGGCAAACAGAAGGGGCGCCAGACCATATGGCAGCAATACTCCATGCAAGGGCGAATTGTGGATTTTTATATCTGGAGGATCGACTCAGGGAGAAAAACTTCCTAGCACGGCTCAGGGAGCCAACTTTCCTCACAGTGGACGAGGCACTTGACTCGATGTATTTATTCCATCTCAGGTCAGCAGTCAACGTGAGACCGAGAAGCCGCAGAGAGTTGCTCTCGGAAGTTGAGCGTCAGACATTCTAATGGAGGGAAGGGAAGGCTCTCTGTGGTGATTAATAGAGAGCAGTTTTGTCTTCGAAGCGTTGAAGTTGACCAGCCAAATCATGCCCCAGTTCACAATCGATTGGAGGTCCTTTTCGAGGCGCACGGCAAGGTGAGTTTTGTCAGCGAGACTGGATTTGTTTTTGAGGCAGGAATAAATTGTGGTGTCATCCGCGTAGATGCCGACTTGAGAAGTTACGGCGTCAGGAAGGTCATTTATATAGATAAGGAATAGAGTGGGGCCTAGAATGGAGCCTTGAGGAACACCTGCGTTCGTGGGGTAGGAACTGGAGGAGAATCCGTTGTGAACGACCTTCAATTCACGGTTTGACAGGAATGATTGTATTACGTTATATAATTGACCCGTAATGCCATAACCCTGGATCTTGCGGAGAAGGCCGGCGTGCCAAACCCTATCAAATGCTTTGGAGATATCTAGTGCCACGGCTCGGGCTTCCCCGTTATTTTGGAGAGTTCGGTAGACTGTCTCCGTGATGGCTGTGAGCACATCGGCTGTAGATCTGGCAAAACGGAAACCATATTGCTTGTCTGAGAGCAGATTATGGGATGTGAGGTGGTTAACCACCCCGGTATTGATTAGAGCTTCGAAGATTTTGCCGAAGAGGGGAAAGAGACTGATAGGACAGTAGTTGGAAGGGTCAGAGGGGTCGCCGGAGTTCTTGAAGACAGGAACGATCGAAGAGGACTTCCAGCAGTCAGGAAAACAAGATTCCTTGAGGCAGTAGTTGTATAGTTTCGAAAGGGCGGGCGCCAGTTCAGGCGCGCATTTCTTTAAGACAATGGCTGGTATCCATTCTCCACCACTCGCCTTGTTGGGATCTAAATTGGAGATAACGCCCAGTACCAAGGTTGGGGTTATGTTTAACCCACTCAATATGGCCTCAGTTCTAAGAGGGAAGTCGGGTATGGGTACACCAGAAGAGTCGAGCGTCGAGTTGGATGAAAATTTCCGAGCAAGCATTCAGCCTTGTCGGTAGAGGAGGTCAAGACTTCGAACTGGTTGAATAGAGGAGGTATAGAGGGTTTGCAATTATTCAATACACTCTTGCAGAGACGCCAATAATCTTTGGAGCCAAATTTGCGAGATGCAATACGTTCCTTCATTCGAGCCGCAAATAGTGACTTAGCATCATTTAGGACACGCTTACAATCGTTACGGGCGGCGGCAAAGAGACGTCTATTGCAGTCAGACATGTCGCTACGGTATAGGTGGAAGTAGTGGTTCCTATGGGCGATGGCGGCTGAGCAAGCAGCCGAAAACCAGGGACAGGAGCGCGACTTAACCCTATATTTCCTTGATGGGATGAAAGCGTCGATTCCAGCTTTAACCCAGGAAGAGACCTCAGAAGCACATTCTTGGACAGGGAACTTAAAGACTCCATCCCAGTGACATCGCGGAGGAAATCACGGAACGCGTCCCAGTCAGCTCGTTGATAATAGAACGAAGTTCTAGTGGTAGGAGGTTCTTTATAGGGGGTGGAGTTAAAGGAGATGTTAACCGATACTACTGCATGGTCAGAGTTACCAAGTGGGCATAGTTGCGAGGCGCTGCAGGATTCGGGGATGGAGGTAAAGCACAGGTCGAGTAGAGAGGCTTTACTTACCCGGTTGAGGGCAAAACGAGTGGGGAAGTTAACTATCTGTGTGAGGGAATGGGAGATTGAAAAATTAAGCGTTTGAATGCCTCTCAACTGGTGTATATATTTATGAGTTTTATATGCAGACTTTTCTTAAATGTTTTCGAAAATGCAAATACAATAATAGTGATTAACTCCAAAGGAAGGTAAGATTTCCTAATCCTTTGTTATTTATATAAAAAAGCACAACGCCAGAGAATATCGAGAGTTGAAACCAAAGTAGAGTGATTGGCTGATCTAATTTTTTAATTTTTTAAATTTATATATATATATATATATATATATATAAGAGTGAACATTGAAGTCAACACTTAGAGGCGACAGGCTGTTTCATGCTCGTGGTCTGACGATTGCGTCTAGCATGAAACAAACTGTCGCCTCTAAGTGTTGACTTTAATGTTCACTTTTATATTTACACACACTCTCTCTCTCTCTCTCTCTCTCTCTATATATATATATATATATATATATATATATATATATATATATATAGATATATATAGATATATATATAGACTATACATTTATAGACTAATTTTTAATTTTTAAATTCATATATATATATATATATATATATATATACACTATAGGTTTAAAAACAAAAAGTATACTTACGAGTACATTTAGGTCCATAGAGATTAGGTTTGCATCCTATTTTACAATAGCCACTTGCTACATCACATGCATTGTTGATGCATCCATCACATATAAATTGGCATTTATCTCCATATTGACCGGCAGGACAGGCTGAAAAAGACAACACACAATATTATTATTACTATTTTACTCTTTTACTGTTTTCTTTTTTATACGTTTCAATAAGGTTAGCTTTGAACTGTCATAAATTCATATTTATATAATCAATGTCTTTTAGCATTCAGAAAAAAATCGCTTATATTGTAACAAAACACAATAGATTAGAAAGTTCTCTGGTAATGCAGATACATTTTCTGTGTTTGAATACAAAATGCTGATTGTGGTGAAACAATATAATTTCGTCTATTGACTGTGCGAAACTTTTTTCAAAACCAAAATGATCGAACTGAATTTAGTCAGGAGAAAAATATTAAGTTCTGAAGCGCTTATTAGTTTTATTGTATAGACTCGATTTGCATCACCCGCTTTGGCGCCTCGATGTGGTTAGCAAGCATGTCTCACTAGAACAATTACGATTGTGTATTGAGTTTGTCCCTCACTGGGTTCCCCGTACTTTCGATCTTGTACCACATCTAAGCTATGCTTAGAAAATCACATTAAACATCGGTTTGATCCCTCTATCATTTCGAGTCTTTTTCCAGAACAGTCTTGCTGTAAAGGCGACCCAAGCAAAGCCAGGAATTATTTCACTCTGTAGACAACTCACGTGAGAAAGAGAAGTACAAACAATTTTTAAAAAAATAAAAAAGAATTAAATAAAGTTACGCAAGTAAAAGACCGAAAAATAAGCAGTTCCAGGCGAAAATAAAATGCATAGCTGAAAGAAGATAGTAGCATATTTCTCTGTAAGATGGTCTATGAGATTTATAAGGCGTGTGAATATCGACTGAGACAGTAACCATATACTCCTTTCAGAACACCATATATATATATATATATATATATATATATATATATTCACTGAAAAAGAGCATAGCATAATGAAAAAAAGTCCCAAACAAAGTTTTATAGTCAATATTATGAAGAGGAAAGATCAAAGTGATTTCTTGATTATTTTATTAAATATTATTTAATTTAAATGTTATAATCCTTTTTAGCACGTTCGAAATTTTGCTTAAAAATCTTTTCTTTTTTTTCTATTTTTTTCTTTTTTTTTTTTTTTTTTGTTCTGTAATATCAGACAAATCCTCGATTTTTTGGACATTTGCAAACAATTTAGTTAGTTCACGGTTTCAAAAATCTTGCAAAAATAAAAAATACATATTTCTGAAACGTTATTTGAGAAAAATTAGCAGATTTAAAATTTAATTATTCTGATTTGGAACAAATTTACTTTCAGCATAAAAAATGGAGTAGAAAACTAAGGAAGATATTGCTTAACCCCGGCGATTTCTTTTTCTGTCGTGTTGATGATGATTCTTTTTATTGGAATCCTAACAATCGTTTTGATTCGCGTGATTTCCAGCCTTAGAAATAGTCATACTTTCTCAGAAGTTTCTTACTTTTGCAAATAGTTTTTTTTTTTTTTTTATTTCGGTCTGTATCATTATTTTTCTAAAGATGTTCCATTTGACAAGACACAGTTCCTTAACTGATAAATGTTTGAGAGCTGAAGTCTTTCTTTTGCTAATATAAAAATTATGTATACAGAAATTAATAAAATATATATTAATTTTCATGCAGTTTCATTGTAATAGGTATATTTAATATTCCTGTGTGGGCAGCTCTACATAGACAGATGGGCAAATATGAACAAAAAGAAATAAATAGATATTAGTTATCAATCTGAAACTGTTTTCCTCTTTTGTTCATTTGTCCAATAGTCCAGAACCTTAAAACCGAACAGCTTAATACTTTATTTCTTCTTTGTGTAAAAAACTAAATTTACATAATTTGCTAAAGATATTGTTATAAAATGAACATTTTTACCTTTGCAATGGCTTCCATAATATCCAATCTTGCAGCCATGAAGACAGGATCCAGTTCTGGCGTCACAGCTTTCATCAAGACAACCAGTACATTTCAAAGAACAATCATTTCCATAATAGCCATGAGCGCAAACTGAAAGAAAATATAAACTGTTAAAGTAAACATCAAATGTCGATGTGCTACCAAAAAACAAATACTTAAAGAATTCAGCCACGAAGCTATATATTTCCCTGTGATGCTCACTCTCAATTCAAAATATTGATCACATTTTGTATTTTGTCTGGTGTTAACATTTTTATATTGATAGAATAAAATACGAGTCGATGTTAAAATATAGTTTTACTCAACAAGGCCTTGCGCACTGCTTGCAGGGTCTGTAATCTGGCTTACCTCTCCATTTTCTCTCTCTCTCTTCTCTCTCTCTCTCTCTCTCTCTCTCTCTCTCTCTCTCTGTGTCATACATACATACATACATACATACACACGCACACACATATACAGAGAGATAAAGAAAGAGGGGAGGCTTACAGCCACAAGTTGAAACACTTGTTCTCATACGATCACCGAAGTTAAGCAATGTGAGTACCTGTACAGGTGACATCATGTGAATATCAGGTGCAGTAAACTTGAATTTGGTGTAATTGATAACGGCTCGGAATTGGAAATCTGAGAACCAGGTTCGAATTCCAGTCGAGTTCATTTACATGCAAATCCCGTTGGGAAAGGTATGAATTTACCTTTTCTTCTCCCAGTTATGGGTTAATTAGTAGAAGTTGTATCAGTAAATTATTATTACAAACAAAAATTCTTACAATCTAAAAAATATTTCATTGCTTTCCTGCAAAAGATTGATAAGCCATAAAAACAAATCAATCAATAATGAAGCATGCATATATATATATATATATATATATATATAGGGTTAGGTAAATGAGATAACTAGATATAAGCAACGTATACTTGCGTGATGGCGTGCTTACGCTGGTAAGCAAATAAATATTTACCAAATTTAGCCAAGAGGTGTACACATAATAGTACTCAATGTGATTAAACAGGCTAAGATATATATATATATATATATATATATATATATATATATATATATATATATATAATAAATACACATATACCTACGTTTGGTGTGCGACTTAAGTTTCGTCAGTTATCCAAAACAATAAGCTATATCTGGTGCCCGACGATTTGGGTAACCAACAAAACTCGCCCACCAAATGTAGGTATATATGTATTTATTAATATATATATATATATATATATATATATATATATATATATATATATATATAAATGCGCAGGTATGCAGAAAATAGAAAAGAACACGTTGGGTGCATAATCCGAGTATTTAGTCCCGTTTCATCTTCAAGCGTTTCCTAAAATTTCGCTTGAATATGAAACCGACTAAACACCTTTAATTCAACTTAATTTTAATAATTATTTGATGGTTTCGGCTCTCGCTTTTGAAACGTGAGAACTCTTATGTAGCGAAGGAATCATATTTTTAAACAAAAAATATTATATATATATATATATATATATATATATATATATATATATATATATATATATGAATGAAAGGAGTCTATTTGTATATATATTATTGTACTTATTTATATTTAACTATCAATGTAGCCACTTTCTCAATGATGCAAATATTTGAAGTTCCCCGAATATCTTCCGTAATTATAGATTGACATGTTTGATTTCTGTTTTTATTCCAGTATGACGATCTTTGAATGAAAACATGTTCGCTCCAGTAAACCAATTTTTTAACTTGTCACTGTTTTGCATTTTATCTGATATTTCAGTTAAATGAAAGAGAAATTATTGAATATTTTACGTTTCTAAAATACGCTACTGTCAAATTGTATTAATGGATATGAAAATAGAATTGAGAAAATCAAAAGATTAATTTCTTCCCAATCGATTTTTTAATAAAAAATAGTCAAGAATTCTAACCCCCTATTAATAGCAAACCAGTCTGAGTTTTCTTTTCTTTTTTCAGTGGAGGTGCATGGGATGTACCGAAATGTGATATTTTCATTAATAATTCACAAAACTATATCTATGAAACAGAACATGTCTGTGTGTGTGTGTGTGTGTCGGTGTGTACGTCATTCTTGATTGATTTCGATAAAATTGTACACACATGTTGTACATTTATTAAACGAACTTTTCAATCTCCAGGTCCCCCGGGTTTGGCAGAAAAGGTGGGTACGACTTTTTTGCAAAAACCAAAGCAAAGTTACACGTGAACAAAACCTTTACGGGATGAACTGATGTTCTTTGCACTTAGAGCAAAACATGTTACGAGGTTTATGTCGAGTGCTTGATAGTTTTCCTGCGACATTGGCTTCACACAAAAAAATTACAAAGATCTGAGAAAAAGTCGGATTTTTCGTACTACTTAAATTAAAACTTGAATAACTTCTTCATTTTTTATCCGATTTTCTTCAAACATGTCGCAAAAAATTGCCATTATGCAAGAAAAACCACGAAAAATACTCAAAAAACCCGTTTTTCGGTTATAACTCCCAGGTTTTTCCTCCGATGGTTTCCAAATTTGCCATGTAAATTACACATGACACACAAATTGTCTGCGTGAATGCTTGGTTTAGATTTCAGTTAAGTTGACGAAATCTGCGACAAACTAGATCCAAATCAGTTTTTTGCCGTTTAGCCAATAATTTCTTCATATGATTTCATCCTAAATTGGCATTCGAACAACATTTGATGCAAAGATTATTTAAGAAGGATTATGGGAGCGTTAAAAGGGGACAATTCTCGAACCTCATATTAACCCCAGCTTTACAGTAAACGTGCGAAGAAGGCGGGGGCGTTCATGCGTTTTCATTTGCAATTGAATCAAGCTCTGACGCTTCATCCCTGTTTTTGTTTGAGTATTAGATTTGTGAACATTGCCATACTATTTGAAAGTTATTACGGCCACAGAAAATTTACTGAATATCTAAAACATTGAAACAATTTAACCCCGAAAAAGGACCACACAAGTAGGTCTTATCGATGGAATTCCTTTATTAAGAACAATCGAAAGACGTACCGTAAAAAAGATGAGTTGAAGGAATAGTTTAGTATAGCAACGGATGATGCATGCAAGCGGGAACGCAGGCAGACATTTCTAGATAGTGGGTTGCAGCTATGTACATCCGGGCAACCCGATGTTCCTCGGATAGTTACAAATAAAAACAGTTAAAAACATAATTATGGAAATATTTAATTTCACTATCTACGAAGAAACCAACTTGAGACTAATTATATTAGGGGGGGGGTTAAATAACCCCATGGCATCAAAAAATAAAAGAGAATAAAATAATTGCAGAATTCCTATTGATAAAATCTCAAACCTAACACAACTTAAAAGGTCGAATTGGTTTAGGCGCCGTCAACTTAAGACAAACCTCAGAAAAGGCAGATTCGAGTTCAAGCCTTATCAAAATATGATTTTTTTCCCCCTAATTTTACATTGTTTATTCTAATAGCGAAATTTTAATCGATATAAATTATTACAGCTCAAGCAACAACAATGGTTATATATTTTATGCCAAACCATATTTGGTATCTGTATATATTTCTGAGATGAGGTATTATGTTCATTATTTACATTATTCGGACTATTGTCCTCATCTTTTTCGCCATATTTATCCACTATGTCATGTGTCCTCGAGGACACATGGCACAGTGGATAAAGGCGTTGGTTAGATCCAGTGACAGTACCTAAAGAGTGTGAGTTCAATACCTGGTTAAGGCAGTGGGGAACTTTCAGAAGGAAATTAACAGGAGATAACTGATAACTGACATCCATTAAACATGGTACGTGGAACTAGAACAGTCTACCCTAGTGAGCGAAATAAAAGGTTGTTCGACATTCCAACCACCTGAAGAAGGCCGGAGCGTACAACGGCCGAAACGCTGTAATAAATATGGCGACAAAGATGAGGACAATTGTCCGAATAATGTAAATAACAAACCATATTTGTTTGACGTCTTCTGTTCGGATGGAGAGTAAATGAAAAATACTATTTCATTCTTTACCATAATTCTTCACTTAACGTCAAATAGTTATTTTCTTATTCGTCAGATGTCATATTACTTTAATCATTTTATTCATCATCCATCATCCCCTTTTGTAATATATCCAATACTATCGCTTCAACACATAAATTCATAATGTTGCATCAAAAGACAATGCCAGCTTTATAATGGATCACATGAAAACTGAAAAGATTTCGCTTTCTGGGACGCTAATAGTCAGTTCAACTGGAAGTGGTCAGACGATTTGAAGTAAACAAACCTCATCTCTTGCTCGATATTTTAATTTCTCTTCAACCAGCTTTATTCCAAATAAAGTGAAAACTCTCAACTACAACACCAGGAGATATACGGAATATCGGAATATAAGTGAGATACTTATATTCTGATATCCATATCGAAAGATTTAAGATCACCTACCTGCCGTTTCATCAAATCTCAATATCACACTCTTATTTTTCCTTACCTCTTAAAGCGATACACTTACCTTCACAATTAACACCAGCATATCTTTCTTTACATCCCTTTAAGCATTGGCCTGTCACTTTATGGCATAGTTCAGAATAGCAGCGATGACATCTCAGGTGACATTTCTCTCCGTAATAACCTCCGACGCATTCTATAAATAATTCATTAATGCCAATCATGAATTTATTATTATCAATTATTTTTTTACAAAGAAAATTTTACTGGTTCGTATATTAAATTCGTGATAAAATTAATAAACTTCCGGTAAAATATTTGTTTTATATAATAACTTCTGGTTAATTGTTTCAAGCAATTCAATTAAAGTTTTGCGTCATACTGTCGCAAATTCCTGATCTAAAAGCTCTACTTGTCTTAGAATATTCAGAATTATCGTACATTGCTGCTTACAAGTCGAGTTTTCAAGCCTAAAAAATCTTTCCAAAACTAGAGGTCGACTGGCGGCTATAAAATGCAAACCTTTACCCCCGAGTACTAAACTAGTGAAACAACACGCTGTACATATTGCTGTACGCCACAAGAACATACGATACGTATCAGTACTATCAAAATAGTACCTGGTATGAGGTGTAATCTACGGTATTAATATTTTATAGAAGTTTATGTTAACTTTAATGTGCTTATCAAGAGTACATATAGAAAATTATTACGGTTAGTGTCACAATATACAGGTAAGTGATATGACCTTATGTAGTTTTGACACAGGTCATTTACCGGTAGGCCTACGTTTGGGCTATTGGTACCCTACCGTATGTTGGGTGAGGGGGTCAACCTATACGATAGGTATAGGCCTAACTAAGAATGTTGAGCTATAAAATTTTAAGGTCGACTTGTACAGCGCAATTTACGGTAATTTGATTGAGCTATTGTTGTCAGTTCACATTTTGTAAAGATTTTAAACAATTTTTTTTTCAGAAAATTAATTTAAAAATTTTTAAATGGAGGCTGAAGCTTAAAAAAACATTATTAATCTGTGGTCCTTGTCAAAGATCAACAATCCTAATTAAAATATAATTAACTTTCATTTTTATTTATAATATGAAAAATATGAAAAACCCCAATGCGCAACTGACGAACTCTATCAATATTTCATTTAATTGAGGAAAAACATGAAAATGTTTCTAATTCTTTTTACAAGAAAAAAAACAGTTATTAAAATGCAATATATATAAAATGGGCTACCAGTAATAGGATTATCATTCGTTTCTTAATTGCCACTCTATATATATAAACTTTTGCCAGATTTATCAGTTAATATTAAATATCTTCAGAATATTTCGAAGAAAAATAGAAATTCTTAAAAAGCAAGAACATGAGGTTATTTTTTACAAAACTGATTTACGTGATGTCAGATTTTATTAGTCAATTGTTTCAAAACAAATCAGGTATTAACGAATTGATGTTGGCAAAACTTAATAGAGAAAAGCCTTTCTGATTGCTAGCAGTATGGCTGGTGTTAACTTCCAAAAGAGAAACTATTCATGCCTTCTTAGGCTCATGTTTTCTACTGACATGAAGTGGAGTTATTATGTTGAATCAATTGCTATGTATACTGCCAGAAATGTTGGTCCACTGTTTCGTACCAGAATATTTTCTTATCAGAATCCATCTTACACATTTATAAATCTACCATTGGCCCGTCCATTGAATATTGTTGCCACACAGTCAAATTGCAACATAGGCAATATTATCAAAAGATTGAACAAAAAAATTCAAATCTTGAAGAGGATGTGAGAAGTGAAAACAAGGTCCTTTGTAATTGTAGAATAAAAAATAATTGTACATTAATTGGAGTATGTTGTACAGAACGAGTTGTATATTGTGCCGAGATAGAAAGTGACAAGGGCAGTGCAAAAATACATTTAAAAAGAGGTGGTATTTAGAATACCAGAAGGCAAGTTCAATACGAAGCTGGCAAATCACTATTAGAGCTTTAGGGAAAAATAGCAGAATCCCGAATTTAAGTTCTTGCGTTGCCTCTGATTGATTCGCTGACGAAACATTGTTGGTCGAAATCGCGGTAGTGATCCGGTCAGCGTTTTATCTTTTATATATATATATATATATATATATATATATATATATATATATATATATATATATATATATATAAATATATATATATATAAAACACAAAAAATGGATTAAGTCCGATAATTATTTAATATATTTTCTGTTAATACCTTATTTTTATAGATTTTTATAGATATAATTTATTTAAGTAAACGCTCTGTTTTTGTTTGCTTGTTTTTTTAATTAAACAGTATTAATTACATTTACCGACCTCAATGTTCGTAGAAGATATGCGCTCTCTGGCAGGAATCGAACATGGGAAGTGTCATTTGATCTGATGAGCTGTTAACAATTCAGCCACAGAGAAACGTCTGGTTACAGGTTCGATACCAGTCAGAGAGCGCATATTTTCTACGAAATTTCTCGAATATTCAAGCCAGTAAACGTAATTAATACCTTTAAATTAAAAAAAAGAGAGTATTTACTTAAATAAATTATATCTATAAAAATAACGCATGAACAGAAAATATATTAAATATATATATGTATGTATGTCAGCATACGTATGAGTGCCATACCAAAACGGACACAGAGGAGAATTTTTTATATATATGCAGAAATATAGTTTTAATTTATGCTATATTTATGGGATAAAGTGCTCAATATCAGAGATAGAACGTATGTAAATATAAAAGTGAACATTGGAGTCAACACTCAGAAGCGACACTGTTTCATGCCAACGCAATCATCAGGCCACAAGCGTTGTGTTTTTCTCACTATTTCGAGAACTCATCTCAAAATGCAGACACGAAAACAAATTTTTATTACGTTACTTAAAAATTGAAAATAGAAAAGAATAAATAAAATAAAAATAAATAAGCAAAAACAAGTAAAAAATAATCGAAATAAATAAAGTAAATAATAAACAAACCACTCCAGCCAAATTAAACGGTTAGAATATACTAACGACCATGCAACAGACTACCCACAATGCACCACTGACCGTATATATAAATAGTCAAGAAAAACGCATGCGTCCTGACGATGGCGTTTAGCATAAAACAGGCAGTCGCCTCTGAGTGTTGACTTCGATGTTCACTTTTATATATATATATATATATATATAGTTACACCTAGTGAGCCAGACAAACCTACCTAGGTTTCACCTAAACGGATCGTCAGGGAAAGTTTGGCTAACGAGGCAAAGAGAGTGTTTCTCTTTGCCTCGTTAATAAACTTTCCCTGACGATCCGTTTAGGTGAAACCTAGGTAGGTTTGTCTCTCACTAGGTGTATCTAGGTCTGCTCTACGGTTGTATTGAGCTCTTTTGTTAGTTTGTTGTTAGTTAGTTGTTACTCGTATCAGGGTTTTTCTTTGGGCTTCAGACCTGCATCTGTGCGATTTTTTGTCGGCAGAAGTCCATGTTTGTAGCTCTTTCTTTTTTAAAACCTTTTTTTCCCTCGAGATTGATTTGATTAGCAAATCAAAATTCGAGGGTTTTTCGAAACGAGTCTAGTTATCTATATATATATATATATATATATATATATATATATATATATATATATATATATATATATATATATGGAGGTGATGACTTGGTTCGAACACTAATCTCTGACAAATACACTTCTTCATTTTTACAAAAATTGAATAGCATATTTTTATTAGATAGTAGTAGTAGTAGCAGTAGTAGTAGTAGTAGTGGTGGTGGTGGTGGTTTTGTATGCGGTGACTATTGAACGAGTTGAAATACTGGAATGTTTATCTATAATATATTGAACGATAAAATATTTCTTGTACCTGTACATCTTCCACCTTGGAACCTTTCTTTGCATCCTTGTAGACATTTACCAAACTGATCGCATTTCTCGAAGAGGCAGTTTTCACACGTCAGATCACAAAATTCTCCATAATATCCGGTGTCACATTCTGCAAAGAAGAAAACAAATTTAATTTTAAAGAGTCATAAATATGCATAAATATATACGAGAGCCCGTAGTCACTTAAATTCCACGGTCGTTGACAACAAGGACGATAGCATCATTTAGTGCTTTTTTTTTTCATTTAAACATTTTTGTATTCTTTTGTCTGAATGTCAAAATATTTCTATGTCTTTTAATAGGAGTGACGTGATCTAATGAAGTGATATGTAATTGTTTTCAATAGGGATCAAGTAACAGCACATCTACTCGAAATTTATTGCTCGAAAATACAGCAATTGTGGTAAACGGCAGGTCTACTCACTGTTCCTCAGAATTTGAACTGACTTTATTAATGATGTCATCTGGACAGTTTCATATCTTTCTTAGACTTTCAATTTTTTAAACTTTTTCACTAAGTTCTTCCCGACAGTTCTTAGTATATCAGTAATGGTTGATAAAACTCTCACCTTCCCGTTCCATTATTACTATTATTATTATTATTATTATTATTATTATTATTATTATTCTCTGCCTTTTCTACGAATATTTTCCCTAGTGCACTGACTGCATGAATTTAAACGTGCTACTAAATTGCTAACTAAGTTTTATCGTTTTACCGTTAAACTAGCTGGATTCAGCCGCCACTTTTACTGTTTATTTTCTCGCACCTCCCACCTGTGGAACTTCCCTGCCGATTTCTTGTTTCCCTGATAAATACAATGTTCCAAAAAATTAAGTGAAACGTCAATCGCCATCTTCCGTTTTCTTGAACCCTTTTTTATTCTTTCCTCAATCCTCCCCATTCTCAGTTTTCTCATTCATTTTCACTTCCACCCCCTGTAACTCCCCTTTGCCCTAGTGGCATTATCACCTTGCTTGGTGTGAAACTATTTAAAAAATACCCATAAAAATAGTGAGAATATTTACAAATATAGCAGAAAACCTGTCCATGATCAAAGTGTAGTATTTGTTCACTTTACTTCATATCAGTTTCGCACATCCATATTATTACTCATGATCAGTTTAGTTTTTATTCATATTCTGAAATTTATTACAAATAGTAGATAGGTAGGTAGGTTTGGTAGGTAGGTAGGTAGGTAGGTAGGTAGGTAGGTAGGTAGGTAGGTAGGTAGGTTTGGTAGGTAGATAGGTGGGTTTGGTAGGTAGGTAGGTGGGTTTGGTGGGTGGGTGGGTAGGTGGGTAGGTGGGTGGGTGGGTTTGGTGGGTAGGTGGGTGGGTGGGTGGGTTTGGTGGGTTGGTGGGTGGGTGGGTGGGTAGGTGGGTAGGTGGGTTTGGTGGGTGGGTGGGTGGGTGGGTGGAGGTGGGTTTGGTGGGTGGGTGGGTGGGTGGGTGGGTGGGTGGGTGGGTTGGTGGGTTTGGTGGGTGGGTGGGTGGGTGGGTGGGTGGGTGGGTGGGTGGGTTAGCTCTAATCATTATACTTAAGAATCAAAGAACAAAGTCTTACTGTCACAGTGAGGTGCAGCGTATCCTTTGGCACAACCATACAAACAAGTACCATAGGTTTGGTCACAATGTCCGAATTTACATTTTCGACATGAGTTTGAACAATCTCCGCCATGACGATTAATCACACATTCTGTCAAAAAATTAAGATTATGTCTTAAAAAGCATTATTATGGCAACAAAAATAAACATATATATAAATCAGAAGAGGGATGGGCTCTGCCAGGTTACTTTATCCTAGATACAACCACTGCTTCTACAGCTGCAGCACATATGGTGTACCAATGATATTAATAGGTTGCGAGATCAGTGTTTGTGATAAATCAATATTTCACTGGTGAAACATCGAAATATTTCTTTTCTTACTGATTAGATTCTTGGATTAGCAATTATCTTTATTTACATGCAGACTATTATCCTTTTTCTTTATTGTTATCATCACAACTTTTCGACTGTTTTGCCCTCCGGTCTTCATCAGATGCTTGGTAATAATGGTAACTTTCAGCGAATTATTCTTTTTGTCGAGATGCAACATGGTTCATTGAGAAATCTTTGGCAACCTAGAGGTCGTCTTATATACAAAAAATGCATCACGTTGAAACACAGGTTCCAATACTTTCACTGAAGTAAAGAAATGTCGAGCCTAGTCAGTACCTAGATGGGTGACCGCTAGGGTATACCAGGTGCTATAAGCTTGGATGTGCGGGTGGTGTAATAGATAATGGCTCGGAATTATTAATTAGAGAGCCGAGTTCCAATTCTAGTTTGGTTCTTTATATTCACTTATCCGCAAATAACCTTGGGAAAGGCATGAACCCATCTCTTCTCTACACCTAGCTATGAGTTAATTATTAAGACTTGTATCGCTAAATTATTATAATCTCAAAACAATTCTTACAATATATAAAAATATTCCTGGATTTTAATAACCTTCAAAAGGTTGGTAAGCTGTAGAAAATGAAATAAATCATATATAAATATATGTACTTGGACAGCACATCAAGAGATATTAAGAATGACTCTTAGAGTTATCAAATGTCCAACGAACACTGAGTTAAATTCAGATACAATCTACAGACAGCGAAAGAAAAAAGAAAGAAATTTACTCTCGATTCTTGACACATCCACATTTAAAAGCTTCTAATAATAAATAATAAAAAAACAGAGTCACCTGCTTTGTATCGATTATATGTTCAATCATAATTCGTTGTCATTTTGCTATTTTAAATAAGTCCTAGACTTTCGAGAAAATAAGGCGACATTTTTTATAATTTTCTGTGCCTATGTTTATACAGTGATACATTTACAAACACAAACATAATCTACATTTTTTTAATCTTGTCGTTTTTATTTATTCTCGTCCCTATCCATGTTTCAGTTTTCATGCAAAGTCCTTATCTTTAGGCTACTTACAAATCAAAAGAACACAAAACACGAGTCTAAAAAAACAATACTTGATATCATAATCAACTTATATGTTAGAGAAGCTAGAAAAATATAACAGAAATAATAATAATAATACTTACGATTACATCTCGGGCCACTGTACGAATTTATGCAACCTATTTTGCATATACCTGTGGCTGGATAACACTTCTTTTCAAAACAAAAATTGCAGGTAGATGAACAATTAGCCCCATAACGACCAAGAGGACATTCTGAAAATAAAAGATGACAAAAAGAACTTACTTCAATTTAAGATTTAATTTTGATAACGGTTAAAAGGTCTAAAACTAATATTTTTGGAATTCATTAAAATTATCCAAAGTAAAATATTTGATTACATTTACTATAAGCATAATTATATTTTCAAAAAAGATATATTTGATTACACGCGTTATATATCATACAGATAAACATTATGAAACCTTTATCTGTATACACTATGCTATTTTTATTACAGTAATACCAATGATATATATATATATATATATATATATATATATATATATATATATATATATATATATATATATACATACATATATGACGTCACACATTATGAAATGGACAAAGTCCTACAATTATTTTAAGACATTTTTATGTTTATACATTCTTTTTTATAGATACAAATATTTAAAGTAAATGTCTGTTTATAATAAACAGTATTAAACAACATTTTCCGGCCTGAATTTTCTGTGAAAATTTCTCGTTTCAGGCCGATAAATGTTGTTTAATACTGTTTATTATAAACAGAGCATTTAAAATATTTGTATTTATAAAAAGAATGTAAAACATGAAATGTCTTAAAATATACATATATATATATATAAATATTAAAAATATTTAAACAAAAAATAAATATATATAAACCTGAATACATCTATATTTTCCAGACTAAAGGAAACCCCAGAATATTCGAGAAAAAATAGTCTAAATAAAAATCATGTCTATGATACTGGAAATTATTACATTATCTGTGTCAAAGCAGAGAGAGAGAAAAACGAAGAAAAAAGAAAAGGCAACAACAAATTTAAGAAAAGAAAAAATAACCACATCATTCTACACATGTGCACATACACATGTACAGGCGTACACATATGCATACGCACGCGTATATACACATACACACAAAAAAATCAACATAACTGTTGGGGCGCACCCACCTTCTGACTGATAATGGACTTATTCCTCTACGATATAAGTCAGTGCTAGAGAGAGTAGTTGTATTGTGTGAAGGATCAGGTTCAGCAGTCGAGATCCGGTTACCATTACATACCGTTGGACTGTAGACTTTTGCTATTGTTACTTACTAACCGGCGTTCCTTATTACTAATCACCCTGTTGTTAATTACCTCTTACAAATATACCAGTATTTATCCCTACAACTGTGTTTGTCTTTATTCGAATACACACACGCGGGAATACTCCCAACAACTCAACAATAACAATCAACACCAATAAAAAAAAACGCATAAATTATTTTTAACTTCATAAATAAAAATAACGAAAACGAAAAAATCAACAAACAATTGATGATATCTCCTGGCGAGTAGATCGAACGATTACAAAAAGGATCGCCTATATATATATATATAGAGAGAGAGAGAGAGTTTGTGTGTGTGTGTGTGCGTGCGTGTGCGTTCCTATTAAATGGTCGGTTAGTAACAAGAAATGATGCTTAATAAAGTCAGTTGTACAAGGATATGATCAAAGATAATTTCGTTCTTTTTCTGTCAAATAAATTTAAAAAAAAAAAACTACAACGTGTATGAACCAAATATCAAAGTCTTGATTGGTTCCACTTAATAGAAATACAGGATAAAGAGAATGCAGGTTCGATTCCTGTCGAAAGCTACGCTTTCTTTGATAAACATTTCAATTGCCCAAGTTGGTCGATATCAATTTCACAGTTTATGAAAACATGTCTACTCAAGCATGTGTATCCACTAAAGATAACATTTATAAGAAGAAATAATGTTTGTTAAATAAAGCATTAATTCCTTAAAATCAAGAGTCGGCAATCTACGACACGCGTGCTACACGTGGCACGTTAAGCAATTTCCAATGGCACGCAGCCGCAAATGACATCACAAAGTCCGAATCAATAACTGCTACAACACAGAGAAGATATTTAGCTGTTTCAATTTTAATATATACTAAAGTATATATACTATATATTACTATATAAAATATATTGCAGAACAGTTATATTGACCTTGACTTGTATAAAAATACGTATGCTGTTGGCACACTGAATGATTTTAAAAACTTAAGTCGGCACATAATTAGCAAAAGGTTGCCGACCACGTTTTAAATAATACTTTAATTGCGTTTCAGATACGATAATAAAGTTAGCATATATAGTCTTTGAAATGTTCCATCTTGTGGTGCTTTGATGTGATGTCTCTCGTGGCTGAGCTATTTTGAACGCCGAGCTTAAAACTTCTTTCTTTGATTATAATCACACCTTCACATACAGAAAAATAATTATCTTTTAAGATTTACCAGTAAATTTAATATTAATAATAATATCGTGAATTAAGAACATAATAATCTTTGTATTTTAATGTTTTTCATTAGTGAAGTCTCTATCATATGACGAGAATCTTGCATGGTGATTAAAGGCGAGGGTCTGTTATCTAATAATAACGTTAAAAAATAACATGTGACACACACACACACACATATGCATATATATATATCTTATTATGTTTTTATTATAATAGATTATAATAAAAACATTTTACATCGCTACACAAAACATTAATAGATATAGGTATAATAGATTATAATAGATTATAATTAACAGATATAGTTATAATAGATATAATAGATTATAATAAAAACATTTTGCATCACTACATGAAAGCTGTAGATGTAAAATCTTGTTATTACAATCTATTATAATAAAAATATAAAAAATCTTTTGCTCTACTTTGTATTGAGCACGTTTTTAAAAATTAAATGCTGCGAACTGTGGATTTTTACTCCATCTGTCTTTTCTCTTATTTGTGTATATATATATATATATATATATATATATATATATATATATATATATATATATATATATATATTCCCTGTTATTTGGATCTTGCAGGTGAGTTATTATTGACGATGAGCTTAGCACTTTTAATTTTTTTTATAGAAGATAATTAATTTATGATATTTAAATTAAGATGTTCCTACCCTGAGGATGACTTAAATAAACATTAATGATTACTGCTTTGATTTAATTTCATATTGTCTTTTCCTAAATTAAAAAGTGTTTTTCACTTCTTTTTTTTTTAATTATTCGATGATTATTGATTTTTATCGAAAACATCGAATATAACTTTTACCACCACGAATGAGAGCAGAGAAACTTACCTTCACATTTGGCGCCATAATATCCAATATTACAATAAGTTTTACATACACCTGTCACTCTGTCGCATTCTCCTTTGTTGCAGCCGAAACATTTTTTATTACAATCTGGTCCGTAGAATCCCCGACGGCATACTGAAAGTAGTCAATGAAATCCGATGATTGACAATTCCACGTTTGTTGAAGTAAAGTGGTGTCGAAATTTTGTATTTAAGGTACCCTCCCGTGGTATTTATTTTTCGTTTAGATAGTATTACCACACCTTTCATAAACATGGAACTTATTACACGGAAAATGGTTTACGAAACAATCATCAGCAAGCTTTTCGAATTTAAAATTTATTATTGAACAATGAACTATGATTATAAGTTTCCCAACAAGAATCGAACTTATTACAATAAAAAATATCTACACGATATGCTTTTAATTCAGTTGTCAAATTCTGATATTAAGTAAACAAGAAAAAATATTATTCTAAATGAAGTCAAAGCCTGAGAATTGATAGCATTTTTACCATTCCCATTGCTTTTATTAAATGAAGATGTTATATTAAAAATGGAAAAAAAGTTATTAAAACGATAAAATAATCTTACCTTCACATTTCAAACCAGCAAATTTGAAAGGACATCCAATAGTGCAGTAACCCGTTTTTGGATGGCACAGATTTTTTAAGCATCTGTTGCATCGCTCGCTACATGTTTTACCATAATAACCAGATATGCATTCTACAAATAATCAACAACATGCTATTTGAAATCATCTGTTGGATTATTATCATAACAACATGAAATATCTAAACGAATATCCTTTAGTTACATTGTTTTCTGTTGTCCTCATCTTTATTTTCATATTCACGACATTTCGGCCGTTGTGCAGGGTGCAATGGGTAAACTTCCGCCTTTTTTATTTTTAATCTCGCGCATGCGCGTTGTTTGCTTTTGATTTTGTCGACCGCACTATATAGTAGGGACACAGTCTGTAAGAAAAAGATCACCATGACGCAATTCATTCCGCCAGCAATTTGGAAACGACATGCTGTACTGCTTGGCATTCGCGCCGGAAGCTCCAATGTGAACATTTCAGAGTGTTTGGGTGTCAATCTGGGGAGAGTACAGATGATTCAGAAACTCATCCAGGTATTCCCGTGTGATTACAAATCAGTCTTTTGTCGATTACGAAGGTACGGCACCTTGGAAAACTCTCTCTGGTCGTTCTGAGAAGAAAAGAAGACCGGAATATGTTGGTGAGTGCCTCAGACTCAACATGGAGTACTAAATCAAGTGCCTTGGGGTATTGCTGCCCTGAGTCAAGAGGATGGCTGCTGGAAGACCTATATATGACAACAGGACTCGGTACCATGCCACACAAGCAAGAGAACCCATTCGTGGCTGTCAGACAATTTCTGCGACATCACCACCCCTTACATCTGGCCACCTAACTCTCCAAACTGCAGCCCTTGATTATTATTTGTGGGGAGCAGTTGATCGAGAGACCAACAAAAATTCTTGTAACACCAAAAATGAACTGAAGGCAAGGATTATGGCAGCATTCACCAACTTAAACAAGGAGACCATCTAGAAGAGTTGCAGGAGATTTCGAAGTCGTCTGGAGGCCGTGGTTGAAGCCAATGGAGGTTTTATTGAATAAATTTACTGTTTTGTATTTCAAGGTATTTTTGTGCAATTTTAGTAAATATATGAGATGTCAGTGATATTTTCATTTTAGAAGACAATTTATCCATCGCACCCTGTACGCTACGACCTTCTTCAGGTGAGATAGGGTTAGAATTTCGAAACGAACGTTTTATTTCGCCCCCTGGCCGAGTGGATAAATGCGTTGGTTGAAGTAATCCAGTAATTTCACCCAAAGAGTTGTGAGTTCAACACCTGTCCATAGCAGAGGTGGACAAAAACTTGGAGAGTTGAATTACTAAAGGGAAATAACTGAAACTGCTATATCCAGAAAAGGTATGGCATATGGAAATAGAACACTCTACACCCGTGGAAGATATAAAGGGTCGGTTCGAAATTCCAACGTATATCACCTGAAGAAGGTCGACGCGAACAACGACCGAAAAGTCGTGCGTATGACAATAAAGAAAAGGACAAGAGTCTGAACAATGTGAATAGTGTAAACAGTTACAATTCCTCATCTCATAAATATAGACAGATAATATTCTCATATTTGTTTTATTGCTAGAATTCATCTTAGCCTTAGAATGAAGTCAAATCCTGTACAATGACACCCATTAAACAAGCTGGAAATGGAAGGCTGACTGGGTGTTTTGGTTTGGAACGAGTGTGGGTTGGGGGCAATGATTTATGACTTCTTCTAGTAGGAGTTCAACTCCACAAATGAGGTACCGTGTAGCCAGCTAGTCCAGTTCACCCCAATGAGCACTACGAACTTTGTCGTTGATGATTTTTCAAAAACAATCACTGTTAATCTTGATTACAAGAAATGAACTAGTAATTGACATAATGATTTTAATTTGTTTGAAATTACACATTTCTTAATTGTAAGTCTATAGATAGATAGATATATAGATATGATGGACTCTCCTGTCGATTTCGACGTATGAAGATACGAAACTTGATTCAGTCCCGCATACAAGTGCACATATTGTGCAACAGGACATGGCAACAGGAGCATTTACTGTCGCTTTTCGCCTTTGTCTTTCCTCTCTCTCTCTCTCTCTCTCTCTATATATATATATATATATATATATATATATATATATATAAAAGAGAGAGAGCGAGAGAGGGAGAAAGAGAGGTGAGCACTAAGGTCAGCCCCGAATGGTGACAGTCTCTTTCATGCTTGAATGCAATCTTCAAGCCATGTCAGAGTGTCACATTTATATGTTGACACATCCTCTATTTGGGATGGTGAACATTTAACCCCATAAAATGTAGGCTACATTAATACTATATTTTATCACATATAAAGAGGTCGTTAAGTGGTCATTTCATAAAAATCGCCTGAGGATACCTTAAAGTTGAAATCAACATAGCGGATTCAACTGACCTCCTGATTTTTAATATATATATATATATATATATATATATATATATATATATATATATATATTGAACAATTAAAAATTATTAAAAAAATTAAAATCTTCAGACACACTGGGTTGTAGATTAATATTCTTTCGTTTTTATTATTATTATTTCATTTAGATTCCTCGACTAGTTTCGGCCAACAAGGCCATCATCAGGAGAAGAAATATTTCTGCTTGCTGGTAGCAGTGAACTACAGAAATGAATGTCTTGATGGAGAAAATGAACTTTTGTCTGTAGTTTTCATTTGTTTTGTTTTTTATCTTTTTAACATGAATCTTTAACATTCCTTGTGTTGGTCAAACAGTCTCTTTTAAGTTGTTATTTGAGATAAGAGCTGGATGGATCCATGCTACTCTGAATTCCCCTGGTCAGTTTGACAGTTTTATTGGTTCCTGAAGAGGGGATGTGTTTCTTTTAAGTGTGTGTTATTTGGTTTTTAGGGAGTGAGTGAGTATGATATGTGTAAGCGTGTATATTGCTGTGGGTGTGTGTTATCATTTGGCTCATTAAGGAGTCTGTGAGTATGATGTGTGTAAGTGTGTATGTTCGTGTGGGTGTGTGTATAAGTGTGAGGCCTCAACACCTCCGTAAGTATGTCTGTCTTGTGTGGGTGAGAAATGTGGGTAGGTTTTGATTTGTAAAGTTATATATTAGTACTATCTATATTGTTAAATTTATAGTGATGCCCGGTTGGATAGTTCGTTTTTAAACGTTGTATCCACTTATTTTCATGGAACTCTAAAATCTTTCTAATGTTATCTGCTCTGAACTTTTCTATTCTCTCAATTATAGTGAATTTGGCATGGGTTTTGAAATCGTGTTTTTCTAGGCGGAAATGTTGTTCTACAGGTAATAATTTTTCATGGGGAGTCGATTTAATTCGATTGCGATAATTATTAATTCTGTAGTGAAAGGGCCATTCAGATTTTCCTACATATTGTTTCTGGCATAGTGTGCATTCTAGGAGGTAAATTATGTTATGACTTCTACAGTTAGAATCGTGCTAGATTTTGAAAATAGATTTAGTGATTGAGCTAGTGAATGAATTCGTGTGTTTAATGTGGTTTACAGCATAAACTTCTTTTGTTGTTACATGGTTGGGAAAATCCTGTTGTTTTTGGTTGTTAGTTTATTACGGATAACTTGGTCCCCTAAAATGTGGTTACTACTATGATTTCTTTTAGGTTCTTAGGTCTACGATATGCAAGAAGGCCGGGTTCCTTAAACAATTTTTTAGGTCTGGTTTTTTTAGGTCTTTCCCAGCGACTTTTGATTATTTGGGATAGTGGAGGCAGAGTGGGGTTGAAAGTGGTTACTAGAGGAATGCGGCTGGGTTTATTCTTAATCTTGTACATTAGGGTGTCTTCTCTAGGTGTGGAAATTGCTTTATTTATTTGTTCCCTGATTAGGTGTTGTTTATAGCCACGTGTTGTGAATTGATGCTCCAGATTTTCAATGTGTTTATTTAATTCTTCATTGTTGGAACATATCGTTCTGAGTCTAAGTGCTTGTGAATAGGGAAGGTTCTCTTTGAGGTGTTTAGGGTGGGAAGACTTAAAGTGTAGATAGTTGTGGGTGTCGGTGATTTT